TATCTCAAACACAAGAAAGCATAGTTTAAATAACATTAGAAATGATTTGCTCTTTCTAGAAGGCTGTCATGTTATGATGGCCACAGTTCATCCAGAATGACAAATTACTATTAAATGAAGTCTTAACAACAGCAGCTATCCTCGTTCTCTGCATGCAAGAAAGACATACTGGGAAGTCCTCTGCAATGCAGAAACTGAATAAGGTCATAACCACCCTATTCAGATCTCTCTCTTGATCTTAGGCTAATTAACCCTTTACAGGTGCTCTGTGCTACAGTGGGCTGTAGCATGAAGCTTAATTAGGATACACCACAAAAGTTTAGGGCATCGTATCACCACTCTAAACAGAAAGCATGTCAAATCATCATATAGGGACATGCAAATACTGCTCTGGTTTGGTAGCTGCACTGAGAAGTTGGAAAAAAAAAAAAAAAGTGTCAACCTGGGACATATCAGTTGATTTTCCACTGAAAATAAAATAATTGGGCTGTTGGATTTTTTTGTTGTTGTCACAATATGGTGCCACGCTTTAAATAAAAGGTTACATTTCTTAATTAAAAGTGTTCCAAAAATGAAGAGGAAGTGCAATTTCATTTCCATAAAAAGCTACATGCTTTTCAACACTTCCCACTTGCGAACATTTTCAAGGCAATATAGTTAAACTTGGATCCAAACTAGAAAATAGTTTTCTTCTACTTGGGTGAACAAACTGAACTTTCTTCTGAATGTACTAGGGAACTACTTTCAGTAATAAATAAAGTAAATAAAGTAAATAAAAGAAACACATATGAAGGAAAGTTCCAAAGGCAACCAATTTTATCTACGAACCAAACTTGAGTTTATTGTAGGTCAAGAAATTGTTTTCGAGACTGAGTTTTAGATCCTTCAGCTTGAGACAACTGAAATAAATTTTCTTTTAATGAACTGTAAGTTTGATAGATGAATTGAGACACGCAGACTATTGTGGTTTTGGCACTGTTCTGCCTCTCAGATTTAATGGCCATGAGATTAACCTCAGTGCATGAAAATGAAAGCCTCTGTTCTTCATTTTGGAATGTTGCAAACTGTTGTGCAAAGCAAAAACTCACTACAAAGTACATAAGAATTCTGGGTTCTGAAGCAGCCTGCAGTATCCTGAAAACAGAGACATCTGGGACTTAGGAAAATGGAGATGTGTACACAGGTGCTTTCCAAATGCAACTTGAAGGGTGAAGAATCAAGAGATACCAGGGCTTTTATTTGAAAGAAGGCTCTCCAAATTAACATTAGATTACAATAGCAAGCAGCGGTATCTAACTACAACTTTTCCCAGTTTAAAATTATTAGAAACATGGTTTTGACTGCTAAGGCAGGGAGAGAGGGATGCTCATTCTAGGAAAAAAAGCTCACTCACTTCCCAGGCAAGCAAACACTTTTGAAGCTTCTAAAGCTTTTTCAAGGCACTAGATGAAGCAAAGTGCTTCCCAAACAACTCATCTAGTAAGTTTATGGCATAAATTTGTTGAAAGCAGGTCCAAGACATCAGATTATGTGTAAAACAAATTTTTTTGAAGACAGTTTTGAGAATGTAATTTTCCCAAGACTGAGAGAAACAACCAAGTGATGGAACTGGAAAAAAAAAAAAAAAAAAGATTTTTTTTGGGCCACCTTCCCCTTGAAAAGGAGTCAATCATTCAATTTATTCCAAAAGATCAGCAACAGACAAGTGTTAGGAAGAGTCTTTACATGTATTGATGAAATTGGTTAGTCACTGAGGAACATAAGTGAAATTTGCATTCTGAACCTTGGGTAGTATTTTCTCCTTCAGAAAAGCTGTCCATTAAAAAAACACAACAACACACTAAGATAAACACAGGAGCTGAAGAGCACAGATCAGTTGCTACTGACCATCACACACAACTGCTTTGGTATTTCTGATGAACACGTCATTGTCTCCAGTACTTTACTGAAAGGTTGTGCATACAGCATTGGAAGTCCCTGGTTTCCAAGTTTAGCAAGGAGAAAGAGTCAAATTAAGCTTCTTTTGATATTTTTTTTTTCCCATATTTATAGTTTTCCCACTGTGACAGAATGCCTTCCTGCACTTTTTCTTTAAAAGTATATTTTAAAATACATATAAAACATATTTACTGACAAGAAAAGTTATAAAAGGAAGTTCTGACAACTTGCACCATTAAGATGCAAGAATAATAATGAATACACATTTATATACAATTTTATTTATACTTTAGCCGTGCTTTCTGTACAGAACTGTTTCAATTTCTTTGATGAAGAGAATAAATTGCTTTAGTGTTCACAGGTGATGGGAGAAACATCCCTGTACCCACACATTGTCTCTTAGAATTTAACACGAATAAGAGTTCTTCAACGTGAGGCATCACCATTTTAGAGGGAAATGCAGACTGCAAGACCATAGAATTAGTAAAAAACTCTTAAATGGATGTAATTTTTTTTTAAATGAACAATTTTATATATTTAGCTGTCAAAGCAGCTTCCATCTGACATTTAAGTCTTACAACTGTGAACATTTCAATCATTGTACATAAGCTGGAGCTTAGATGCTTGCCAGACAAACAAAGAAGTTGCAGCCAGAGAGTAACAAAACACAGGAGGAGAAAGAAAACTCCACATTCTCATATCGCACAATTCAAGTTTATTCCATTCATTCTTGCAACACAAACTTAAAAATACAGTATCATTTAGCATTCTGATATTTATGAACCATGATAATGATGAACCCAACTGTGTCAAAACAGTTAACAATGGTGAAAAGAGGAAGTCAAATATCAAAATGCACAGAGCACTAATTTCCTTCCATCATTGTGTAGAAAGATGATTGCTTATCCATTTACAAAATGTAATTAAGACAAGTTCATTTTTAAATTTTGCATGCAACACTGCAATTGCTTGACCTAGGGCACTCCATTCTTACCAGCCTCTTCTACAAATAATTCAATGTTATCTTCAAGGATATGTTCCACTTAACTATCATACTCCTTTTCCCATTTGCTCTCCCTTAAGAAAAATGAGCAGTGTACAAAATCTAAAATATACTTAAGTTTATAACTTAGCACAAATTTCAAAGGAAAAGATTTAAGAACAGAGTGAATTTCAAAGTATATGCAACTCCAGCCTGACAAAGTATTTAAATTCTGTTTATGTAATGTAAAATAATTTACAGTTTGTTATTTTCATCTAGTTAGGACCTACTCAAAGATACAGGCAGCCACCCATTTTTTTTTTCACAATAAGAGAACATTTGAACAAGCCCTGTATCTAGACAATTACAAAAGCATAAACTTTTATTATTATTTTTTGTTTTATATCCTGGGCAAAATGATTAATCACCTCTTATGTAGTGCAAAAAGCAAAAAAGCATTTCTTCTTTCTGAGCCAAACATGAAATGCCATCTTTTAACTATCCTGAAAGGCAGCTTGGGTATGTATTACAGCCAAATTATCACTTGTCTCACTGAAGTTTGTTTGCATTTTTTTTCCTCAAGTCAAGTAAGAAAAAATAAGGTGTCTACATAATTGTAGAAAAAGGGAGGCAAAATTGCCTCAGTGAATAACCAGAAGAGTTAGTACAAAGATGGTTTTTCTTCACTATGATGATGCTGGCTTAAATGGGAGTCGAAGGGAAGGGCAGGAAAGAATAGAGAAAAAAAATAATCAAAACAACCAAAAACACTATGGCCAGACAACTTGACACTAATCAACACAAAAACCTTGAATAATCAAGTTTTCCACATAAAAGCAGATTGCAGTTTTCTAGACTAGTATTTTAAGACCTAAGTATTTAATAGCATAAGATGAAGGCAACTTTATGCCTCCATAACATGGTAACTTTCATAGCTGAATGAAGAGTTACATGTATAGTCTGCGTTCACACTATTACAATGACATGACAATCCAGCACTGATCAGAGATAAGATTTGAGTTCTCTTTAAATAGTCTTTAAAAAGCATTGTTCACCAAACATGCCTGCTCTTTTATCAGCAACTCACCAACTGATTTATCACTAGTTTCCAACCCTTCTGCTCTTCCTTGCCCCCATCTCCAAGTCATACTGTACAGTTTATGGCCCGAGTTGATTGTTTTCTCCATCAAATTGTTTATGGAATGTGTACATATAAATCAGTCTTATTTTGCAGTCTAAATGCAAGCCTTTTTATAGCTGAGACATTCAATCATAATATGCAGCATGATTCAAGTAAAATCAAGTCTACATTAAATATGAGTGGTAGTCATCAGGCTACTCCAACATATCCTCTCAATTTCAGTGATATCAAAATAGTATTGGCTACTTTTAAGAATTCAGCATGAGACATTATATACAATTATTTTCTATATTGTGTATGTTATCAGAAAGTTTGAAATCTGTATTCCAAAAAAATAGGAAGATGTACAGTTTGTGGTACACACCTTTCTGTTATAAAATCTATTATGGGTGAATCAGCAGTCTAATGAAAATTTTCAAGATCAAAGTCAGGAGCTCCGACATTCCTGAGGACTATAAGTTGTGACAGAAATCCTTACATCATTAAATTTCTTCCCATGAATTATCAAGGCTGTAACGGTGGTACTATGATACTTACTGATAGAGGAAATCTTACCTAAAGTTCATTGCTTAAAATGTTGTATGGTTGCACTGGGAACTTTCAGAGCAAGCCCCATGCCTTAGTGAAATTTTAGAGGTTCATTCAGCCCACAATGAAACACCAACTCAAATATATGCACAACGAAAAGGTTTTTTTTTGTTTGTTTTCTAGTAGTTGGAGCAAGTTTAGACTTCTACTTGCATGTCTACCTGTTCCTAACATCTGAACTTAGAAAGCTTACATGTATTTTAAAAGTTTATCAGAAAAGTTTAGCAAAAATATTCACCTGATATGAATGTCTAAATAATTACTGTTCATTTTCCACATTTGACATGATTTTCCTTGAGTACCAAACAGCCTGTAGCTTTCTCACGTCTACAAATTTTATGTTGACAAAGTGAATAAAGAAATTCCATCTTACAATCCTTTTGGGAATACCTAAAGTGACATTTTGAACTCTCTCAAAAACAGTTTCTGAAAATGTCTGTCCTGGACTGAAAAAAAAATGGGAAAGAAAAACCTTGAATTCAAGCATCCGAATGCACCATGGCAGATATTCTGGAGTGTAATACCACCATGCCTCAACTGATCTTTCCTAGTTTACTCAAGAGTCAGAAAAACATTAGTGTGACATCCAATTAGTCAACATAAAGAACAGCTCCAATAACTAGTATCAAAAGTCCTCCAAACCGCAACATAAGCTTTAGGCAAAAAGAATAAAGCTACACACTGAGAGAGAAGAGAGAAAAGCAACCCAGCCACCTACATTACTACATTTCATATTATGGTAGACACTAATAGCATGAGACTATTGTCTCCTTCACAATTAGTTTCAGGTACATAGCACAGTACTTCCATCTAAAGGAATCTTTCAACAAAAATCTTAGTACTAACCTAGGAGGTTTACAAGCCAAAAATTCAAGATCATGGTCTGTCTTCCTTCTTCCATTTTCACTAGAAATGGGAAGAGATTGTGCAATGAAAAGAAGTCCTAGAGGGACACTGTTCATAATAGTTTTCAATCCTCTCCAAACAGATTATCTTCAATACAAGCCACTAACTAGTCTGATTCATAAAGAATTTCCCTCCCTCCAAAGTATTTAGCTGAAGAAGCTGGAAGATGCAAAGAGTGACAGACAGGCAGCAGTGTGAGGCCACAGGAGAGACATTTAAGATATCAGTCCATCCGTCACTGAAGAAGAGTTTTGATTGCCTGGTTGTCAGTGGCTTCAAAGGCAGTTAGTCCATCTGGGCCTTTCACAGTCTTATCAGCACCCTGTGAAGACATTGAGAAGGACTGTCAATTCATAAAGCCAGGCTGTATTAGAATTAAATGCACCACAACAGATACTCACCTTGCATAATTATAGTGATTACATACAGCTTTTTAGTGTAGTGTATTTTTTTCATTTAGAAATCATGTAGGAAAGATTTACATACAAAACTATTTGGCATGTAACTTACCTAAATTTCAAAATTTACTGCAGACCTAGGAAAAAACCCCTACATAATCTTTTTCACACAGCACATTGCAAGATCAGCAAATGACCAGTTAATCTTGGACAGAAACAAAGATTTATATTTTTTTTTTGTTTCCAGCAACAATTCACATGAATGCAAGAATTCAGTATTATACATTTCTATAAAAATCTATGGTGTAGCAAGATTTTTCACATGCTAAACTAACAGATAACCTCTGGAACATCTTACTTACTAACAAATCATGCTATCTTCTCCATCCTAAAAAACTACATATCCATCTAGGATTATGCTTCTCTCTCTCATTTTGAAAAAAAAAAACAAAACAAAACACAACACAACCCTATTCCTACAAAATAAGAAATGCCAAATAATTCCAAGTCAAAAACGGATCAACTCTGTCTGCAGTTAAGAGCAAACTAAACAGCTTAGGGAGGCAACAAGAGGATGGGCAGAGTATAACAGAAATAGACCAACTAGACAAACTGTGGAACAATAAGCACAAACGCAGCCTCAGTGCCAGAATTATGAAGTAGAACAAAAGAGAAGCAAAAACTGATTAACTAGTCATGTTTATTTTGAGCATTGTGTAGTCATATAAAAGTCACATAAAAGTGAAAAAAAAACACAACAAACTAAATTGTAAATAGGGTACTGAAATAAAAGGATAAAAATTATTCGAGAACATAGGACTACAGAGATGTAGTAAGATGTTTTCCAGAAAATAAGTTTGATTCCAGAACACCTCTGCTTGGGAAGATAGGAAAGTCTCACTTTAAAATATGTATTTGCTCAATCAAGTGACAGGAAAAACACTGTGGGTGGGTGGCAAGAGCATGTACTGCAGAGCTTTACTTTAGTTTTACATATAAACTCTCCAATGAATAAGTGCAAATCTCTTCTCAATTACATTACACGGAAGGAAGGGCACAGATTAATGGGAAAGAGCACCCATTAGTTTTCTAAGAATGTAATAGACTTCGAATGTCAAGAGCTTCTCTACTAATAAAAGATAATACATATAAAGCCCCACTAAACTTCTATACACAATACCATGTATGTTCCTAAGACAACTCTCAGCCCACTATTTGCTTCCACAATATAATAAAACGGATCTGACGTTACTGCGATATGCTGCTGCCAAAACTACCTTTCATAATATATATTTCCATTTTTGAAACTTCTACTCTCTTTACTTCTAAGTATTCAACTGCCACTCTAAAAATACAGCTTCACAGTGGTCTCTGAGGCAGTAGTGCCCATTCTGAGTTTCACTGGCGAAACTGATCCTGTTACAGCCCTTCATCTTCCTTGCAGCCCCTAGAGACTCTCATTGCAGGACATGATCGGAACAGATTATTTTATTTGGTGGAAGTCAGCTGTGAGGCAGGGAGACAGGCTTCCGCTGTCCAGGAAAATAAAATTGTCTTGAGAACTCAAGATAATAATTCAGAGAGTGATACTTAAAATGTCAACAATTCCTTCCAAGAAGCTCATTTTGTCTAGCACCTTTCAGGCAGTAGAATACAGCAATACCTTTTGTGCATACACAAATTCACTTGTGACAGGACAAATCATAACACTTATCTCTCTTTTCACTATGAAACATCCTTGGCCTAAACGATATGCAGTTTATGCTGCAGTACCACTGTTCTGTTGGGAGTGAACATGAGCTTAATCAGTCTGTTTCCAAGAGATGATAAGCTGGTCATTGCAAACACACACTTAGCCTGAAACCACTGAGACCCATTGCTTGTGAAACATTAATTTTTCACCCTAATAAACACCTGACATATTTAACAGGTATTTAACAGTTATTACCTTAGTTGTTCTGGGCTTATTTACAGGTGTTGATTATTTTTCTGCTTAGATACCACTCTCAGATCAGAGTCCATGTGGAAATCAAAAGGGCTTCAAAGCTGCTCTTTGATGTTAAACTCAGGCAACCTGAAGGAACTTAGACTTGAAGAAAAATGCAACTATGCAGTAACCGACCTACCAGTATTCATCCTGAATCATAGTTTGAAGAATCTTACTTATAGTACTTTCCACCAATGTATCAGCTTTTAGAGTATAACTATTTACTGAGGTAATTTTGAAGTAGAAAGAGAACTCTTAGTTTAGACACAGGACTACTTTCCACCCTCATGCACATTTGTACTTCAGAAAAGCTACAGACTCACAAGACCTGACTTTCTAAACCAGCCTCAATGAATGTAGGTTAAGTAGGTCATGACAACCTAAGCAGGACGCAGTTTAATAAACTCCGTGTTAATAAATTAGGGAAATGGCTCCTTAGCTAGGCAGAAAGATTCCTGCCTGCATTCAATACAATGAGAAAGAAATAAAGTTCAGGTCAAGAGGATTTTAACTTTCAGAAGTTCAGCACTGCCAGGAAGCAAGTTTAATAAAAAGTACATAAAAGTAAAATTATTCCACAGTATTCTCTACTTCCCCAAAGTGAAAGTTATTAACATTTTATGTTTGTGCTATGCTCTTAAAATACACACACACAAATAAATATACATTTTCTTTCTTTGGCAGAATAATAACAAACAAGTGCCTTTGCCCTCTTAAGCCACTGGGCAAAGCACTGATGTTAAACATGCTCTGAAGGCAGCACAATAACTATTAGTGTACAGTTGCAATTCAGGAAAAACAAAAACATGAAGGCAGAAGATAAAGGCAAAGCAGAGCTGTCACCAAATCATGTGAAATTGGAATTGGGGGCACCTAGTGAAGCTGGTAGAAGACATAGAAAGCAGCAAACTTACAGAACTAGTTGCTAGATAAAAGTTATGGAAGTAGATAACAGTTTGTTCAAAAAAGGATACGGAAGAATTAATGGACAACAAAACTATAAACACTTTGTAAAGGGGATAGGTATGTCTATCTTCAAAATTCCCAATACAGTAACTATGAATGAGGTGAACAAGGGAACAGAAGGGCCCAAACACAATTCTTCCCAAATGTTATAACCCTTGCCACTGTCTGATGAGAATAAAAGGTGCTAAATTGCCTAATGAACAAATGTCTGAGATTTGTTGTATCTTTCAAGTCTCATCTGCCATTAGAAGCATTTAAAAGCTTGTCTACTGTAACATATTCGCTTGTTCTACACTTTGAAAACTCCACCTCTTTACATTACAAAATCAAATGCAAGATTCTTTGAGAAAAACATGGAACATTTTGAATTTCATATATCTATCTGCTTTTCAAATAGGTATCCCTCAAACCTGCTATCCCTGAAAAAAAATAAAAGCAAACTGAAATACAGTAACTGATGTCCCTTCAGTTCAGTTCTGAGTACTCATTATTTTGTCTAGTAGAAGGCTGGTATATAACATGAGCAAACTAAAAACCTGATATTTTGGAAAACAATTGTGTTTTGACTTTACCAACAGCTACCAAAAATTCATTTCCTCCTTAACACTATAATATCTTCCAATATTATGTTATTTAACATTATTAATCATACTGAACAGGCAGAAATGAACAAAATGAACACAAGATACAACATTTCTGCTTCACTTTGAGGTCACAACATGCTGCAAACCACCTTACTATTAAAAATTACAAAGGCTATTTCAATATGCGTCTAATTCCTAGAAAAATACTTTAACATCAATTAAAAAATTAACTACTGTTGATGTAGTAGTAAGACAACAAGCCCTAACTTTGAACTTTAATCAAGGTCTTCAGACTATAGTTAATGACGTTCATGTATTACAGTAGGTCAGAGCAAAACATTTTCAACTGAAACTCAGATGATGATATATAAGTTTTAGGTATCACTCTGCAAACCTCCAAAATTCTTCTCCTTGGGATGTCTACAGTATATTCCACACATTTTCATAAATTTTGAATGATACACTATGAAGTCACAAAACTATTTCTAGACTATATACCATCTAAGTAATGCGTGACAGCTTAAAAAGGATCTTTGAAAAAAAGGACAGTTTTGTAGGAAAAGGCAAACCATTTAATAAATACAATCTGCCAAAACCATGACAGAAATTGATTATGACTGATCACTATGATTAGCACAACAGCCATGCCTGAGAACACTCAGTTGTTTGGTAAGCTCCATTATTGAAGTTTTGAAACAGCATCTAAGCTTCTTATAGTGTAAGAAATCAAACTGAGCAATTACAAAAATAAAAACATCCCAACAAGGCATCACAATTCCTCACTGAAATGCTTATTTCAGAAGAAAGTGTGCAAACAAAGGCCCTTATTGAGAAACTACCCTGGGAAGAGTACCGTACATCTACCCTTAAGTTATGTTCCGTGGTTATCAGTAATCCTATGTATGCACTGTAACTATGAGAACAAAGTCATATAACTAGTTCAGGTTTTTTAAACAATGCAAGCTGGTTTATTTACGCAAATTAACTATGTTGGTTGTATCTTTTTCTCATATTGGAAGACATGTTTGATCTTGAATACCAACACAAACCATGGTAATATGTGATACTACAGTTCAACGTACCTTAATCATAAAATCATAATTCAATGAATTGTGGGCTTTGGGAGTTAAATCCATGCAAACATTACAATAGATGAAAACTTGGGGGGGGGGAACAAAACAACTTAAAACCTGAACCTAAAACTTTGTCAACAACTTCAATACTGAAACAAAGGATTTATTAAAGAGTGAAAAGTGATTGCTTTCTGAAGCTGCAAAATTACTTTTTAAACCTGCTGGAGTACTCATTTGCAACCAGTAATGAATATTAAGATGACATTTCAAATACCTCCTGTAAAACCCATCAGGAAATTCTACCAAATTGTTCTTCTTCACAGTACTTAATTTACCATTTTCGATGAACGTACTTTCCAAGGTCAAACCAAATGTTCTGGGATTACCTGCCTTTCACAGGAGGTCACACTTCAAATGCTTTCAAGGAAGGGTTTTAAGAAGAAACTTAGAGCTAAACTACTTGGTTTAGGAAGCTCTTAATTCCCCTCTCCAGAGACAAACAAAGCTAAAATATATATTAAAACACACACATGATTAAGAAAGGAGCTCTCCTGCAGTTTTAATATCATTCCAGTTTTAATTTGTAGCCAAATGCTACAGGATCACCAGATAGTTTATAAAATGTTATGTCATAATTTGGAGCCATGGTTTACTCAAGTCAGAATATGATGCATTCTTAGGGAGGTAGTAGAAGAGAAGAGGCAGGAAATAAGATCTATGAAATCTAACCTAACCCAGAAATAATCAGTTCCAGCTCCTTGAAATTGCACAGGGGAGGTAGCAGCATGGTATACTCTCTTTTTGCAGCATAATATTCTAGACTTTCTTACTCCTACCAGTGAAACCTCATCTCATTGCACATGCAGCTACAGATCCTTTTACAAGCATCTATTTCACTCCACTTCTCATCTCTAAGTCTCATTCCACCTACAATTACAGCTGAACGTTGCTATCCATACAAAGGTCAAAACCATTATTGTCACCCCAAATCTTCAAGAACAAGTCAGTCATCCACTACAATAGCGGCGTTCTTAAAAGTAACTTGAAGATAACCTCTTGGGATCCCTTCCAGACTTCTTAATAATTTAATCTGCACATTAGATGTAGTCCAATCTGCTTCACCTACGTTTTTCATCAACACATACCTACAAATATTGCAAAATAAAGTAGAAAATTCTGCTTCTGAAACAGAGGGCTTGTCCAAAGTAACATCCCACTATGGTACTGTCAAACCACATTAATGGTTCAGGGAGCTCTTGACAATTTGAAACATCTCCTCCACTGCCTTCACAAAAAACTTCACACCTGGGCAGTTCCCAGAAGAAGCCTGCTTCCTCAGAAGCTGTAAAACCATTTGATTTCGATGCATTGCTAACCCCATTGAACAAGAACTGGCTTAGTTTGTTAAGGCTTTATCAAGAATGGCTGGAAGCTCTACTTAGAACTGGCTTTCTACTGCTTCTCAGAAGGCTCTAGGACAACTTTCTGCTGCAACCAACTCTCCACAGGTCAACTCACCACCAAACATTTCTACACCACTGACAGGTAGATGGTGCTCAGTCAGCACTGAGAGCAGAATCTTGTTCAGCACTATGAACAGAACCATGTTCACTACTTTTGAACAGAACCACAGGGAGCAGGTGGCTCTGCTCCCAGTGCTCTGATTTTTTTGCAAGAAAACCATGTGTATGTAGGGGAGTTCAAGTGTATGAGTCACAACATCATTTGTAACATGCTAGCCAATTAATCTCATACCTTTGCTGTGCTTGGCCATCAGAGGTGTTCACTCTGCAATTGTCTTTTGTTATCTCATGATGAGATAAGGGCAAAATCAAAAGTGAGAAAAGAAAGAGTCACAATAAGATAAAGCAAACTCAATAAACTGTGAGAGAGTTTCTAAAAGTGATGTTAAACGATTGAAGCTATAAAAATATCAATTTTTTTAAAGTTATTTTAATAAAATTCAAAAACTTTTCTAGAAGTAATGTTAAATAACTGCATTTAAAGAAACATGAAAACACCACAGCTTTTAAAAGTGATATTCAGGACTGCAATGTGAAATGGGCTGCTCACAATACATTTGATTGAGTTGCCTTTATCTCATAATTAATTTTTCATGTTACAAATGGTGTGATTCACATACTTGAGCTCTTCTCCAAATGCATAGTTTCCTTGCAAAAATCAGAGCTGCATGCTCTCCGAGGGTCTGTTCTAAGGCACTGAATGAGCCCCACTCACTGACTGGTGTACACTTGTCCTGGAGAAAAATCTGCAGTGCAAAAGTGTCTCACAACCAATTGACAGCATTCAGTTGGCCCTTTCTTTGTGCTGAAAAGGGTGAAAAGGAACAGAATTCAAACTATTTCAAGTCATCCTGGTACCCTATGCCAACCTTGGAAATTTCCTCCAACTCAATAGTAAGAGTGAGTGTACATGAAGGACAAAGTTTATCACATCACATCCAGTATATCAGCTATGTTTCAATGCATTATCAAAAGCTTTGTAGCCCAGATGTCATAACTACATACCTAAAAAATCCTGATCCTCAACTCTTTCTTTTTACCACCTTAAATATTTCACCACATTTCAAATGTAGATCTCTATAAAACCATCACAGGTGCTACAGAACCTGTAGAGAAGGGGAATTAAGCTGTTGAAGGGTTTAGAGAACAAGTCCTTTGAGGAGTGCGAAGTGCCAGTAGATCAATACCTGGCTCTGGACCTGGTGTGACTGGCAGGATTTTGGGTTTTTGATCGCAGGTCAGTTTACATGACACCAAGCCTGCTGACAACAGCTGGGGTACACCTCTCTCTACTGGGAAAAGGATTCTAGCACAGGAGTTAGCAAGACTCATTGACAGAGCTTTAAACTAGGTTTGAAGGTGAAAGGGAATAAAAATCAGTTTCACTATAGATAAGCCTGGGGATGGCACACCAATGTTTGTGGGACAGTGTGCTAGTGAGGGCTTCTCCCCTTGGAAAAGTGGCAGGATCAATAGCTCAACTGAAGTGCATCTACACCAATGAACATAATGAGCAACAAACAGGAGGAGCTGGAAGCCATTGTGCAGAAGAAAAACTATTATTTAGTTACCATGGAAACATGATGAGATGGCTGACACAGCTGGAGAGCTGCAATGGATGGCTGCAAACTCTTCAGAAAGGAGAGGCAAGAAAGGAGAAGCAGTGGGCTGGCCCTCTATATTAAGGAGTGTTTTGATTGCCTAGAGCTTAAAGATGGTGATAATAGGGTTGAGTAAAAAAAGAAGGATGAGCAATAGTGAGACTTTTCCTAGCTGCTTATAGACTATTTAGTCTGCCTCTTAATCCTAGTTGGGTAGTCTGTAAGACTCCCACCATGATGTCTACCTAATTGGCCTTTCCCTTGATTCTTACTCAGAAAAATTAACATCAGACATTCAGTAACTGTCCTACATCTAAAGCAACAGTAAAAATACATCCCACTCCAAAAGTAGTGAGGAAGAATGCTAAAGAGTCAAAGTCAAAGCTGGTAATTTTTAGAATTTTCAATAAGGGCCATCAGATCTTCAAGGTATCTACTATCAAATAACATATGGAATCAGATTATGTTACAAAAAATGTGTGAAATAGATGTTCAAACAAGGCTCAGAAGATAACTATATTACGAGGAAGAACAACTTCTTTGCATAAGATCTGTCTTAAACAGAAGAAGCTGATGAGTAAAGTTCCATCAGCTAGTCCATGTGAATGGAAGCAAGCAGAGGCAGTACAACACCTAAGCTCTGCATGAAGAAATCTGAAAATACAAGATTTCCCAAACTATCCAATTCCAGTAACATTTTTCTAAGCTCATATTCTAGTTCAAGCTCACTTTCTTATAGCATTCTGTGTGTCTTGGTAAGATTACCTCATCTTTGACTGTTGAACTTCACAAATTCCATTAAAATTATATCAAGTAAAGAGATCAATACATTCTCACACACTGCATGAAAAATCTGGTTCAAAAAATACTTTAATGCCCTTGCTGACAGAGACTACAATGAATGCACAATCCTTACTAGTTGCCAGGCAATTCACGTAGGAACTTGATTTTAAGACATCTTATTTATTACTTTAGCAACTTATTTAGAATGCAAAACACTTCAAAGCAGAAATGGAAGGAAACACAACATGGGATAAAGGATATCTTTTTTTGTTTTAACATGTATTTAATGATCCTAAATGAAGGATCAGTCCTCAACAGATTTAAGCGTGTCGGATACACCATTTTAATCTTACATTAGCAGTCACAGCATCTCTTCACAGAAAGTAGAACTAACATTAGACAGGATCAGAGAAGTGACAAAAGGTGAAAAGTAAAATTCATGCATTAGGAAAACCATTTTACCTTGGAAATGGCATATGAAAACATCATACAGCATTAAACCCTTTGGCCAAATGATTTAAGTGGGTTCATATACTGAGAAAGCAGTTCACCTCCTCTTTTCAAAGTGTGGTATAACAAGAAGGAGAATGTATGAATAGAGACAAAACATGGTTAACTACTGCTTTGTAACATTGATTGCCTTTGTAACATGAATCAAAGGGAGAAGAGAAACAGATTAAGCTTATTCTCCCCAGGACAGAATTCACAAGCTCTCTAACAGAGAAAGCTTGTCTTTTGACTTGGTTTTCCCCTCACTCTGCCAACCCAGATGAGTTCTCAGTCATCTAGCAAAAGCAGAGGGAAACCGCACCTCTGAGCAACTTCACAGTGGAGATTCCAACACATGAAACACTTAATCAGCTGCCAAAACTAAATCCCACTCCACCCTGTCTGTTGAAGGAATGTATATTCTTTTAATTGCCTGATTTGCGATTAATTGTTCTCTAGCTGGAGCTCACAATACTCTTGTGGTCACTATTACTTTTGCTACACTGCAAAATCCCTGGAACTTTCTCCTTCAACTATCTCCTCCATAATCAGAGTACCCTCTCTGAATTAGCAACAAAGACAGCATTTGTTTGATGTTTTGAATTCATCTGGAACATTATAATCTTATAAAAAAAAATTATATTCAGATACTTTACTAACATGTTACTTGTTCTAAAGATTATTATCTCACCTTTGACAGAAGCAATTTCACACAGGAAACATGGCCCTCATAGACTGCTGATAGGAGTGGTGTGATATTATGTTTGTCTGGAGCCTGTAAATTGAAACACAGTTATTGGAAGCACTATTTCACACAGTTAAAAGCTTACACCTAAGTTTTAATATTTTTTTTTTTGTCAACAGTAGAGTGAAGGTAAGGGTTTAAGACTATTATTTGGAAATGCATTCCCTCAGAATTTTTTACACTTCTTTTTAAAAGGTAAGTCATTGTTTAAGAAAAGCAAAAAAAAAAAAACAACCACAAAACAGGTAACTAACAGAAAGGTATTTCTTTCCTAAGAATTCCAGGCATCCCAAAGTTTATCTACTTTTTTAAGCCGATGATAGAAATTGTGGGATTTTGGCTAACTCTTTTTGCCCAATTTAGAAACACTACCCCTAATTCTCCTGATTTGCAGCCAGCCTGACTTCAGAAACCATTTTTGGCTGAAACATTGTTTGGGCTGTCTTCTCCTCTCTAAACTATAGTCCTGGAAAGAATAAGAAATGGAGCAACTGAAACATTCTTATTTTTCCTCCATTTTCTCCTCCTCTCTAGTTACGAGAACTGATGAAGAGAGAATATTTCCAGGCATCAGGGGAAAAAAAAAAATCTAAGGCATTTTGTTAAGGAAGAAAGCTAAGATGTCTTATACATTAACTTTCAGACAAGTATTCTAAAACACAGCCTTTATAAACCTCTACTTTATGAAGAACTAAGCTATTTTTAAGTGCAAACACAACCCAGCCAAGACTATTCAAGACAAAAAGCCATGCATGTTAAGCTACAGAAAAATGACTGCATTTGTACAAATAAGGAATGTCTCAAAAAAAATTAAAAAAAAAGGAAAAGGAAAAAAATTAGCATCCCAATTGGAACAGAGTTGACCCTGCCCTGGCTAAGGATGCATTGTAATATTTTCTGAAGTCCCTTCCAACAAATGTAATATGTATTTCATGATAACTGCATTTTGTTGTGATTTTTTAATTTATTTTTCAAATCATGGTCAAATGAAATTTAAAATTTCATAGCTACAAACAACTTTTTCCAGTGTGCCTAAAGAGAGAAAAAAAAACACATTTAATAAACAGAATTTTATGCTTCTGTCCTCTAGGAGGCCACCTCAAATAGATCAAACTAAAAAACTTGAGGTGTTTAAAAATGTCTTTCAGTAACCATTTAGGCATTTACACTAATCTTGTGTGTGTGTATGAAGGGCAGTGGGAGGGGGTCATAGGGTAAGACAACATCTGTTTGCAAATCAATGTACATACATTTATATCAGCTCCTTTCAATAGCAGAAATTCCAGAATCTCAAGCTGTCCACAGTCTGCTGCATAGTGAAGAGGCTTCCTCCCACCTTCAAGTGTCCGGTTGACATCTTCACCCTTCAATGTAAACATAATCTAATAAGCAACATTTTAGAGCTAACATAACAAAAGCAGTATGAAAAAAAACAACATCTTCAAATATGCTGAAGAATGTTCCAGTTAGTTTACCTGCTTCTACACATATTGAAGACTTGCACACTGAAAAACCAGATGACAGAAATCAGTCAGCATCATAACTACTAGAGAGTCCAGAATATTAAAAATTCAAAACCCAACTATGAACCTGTTCATTCTGTTTTATAATTAGAATCTGTCAATTTTACAGGACACAAAAAAGTCTGAAGACAGTGAAGCAAATCAGGACACAGTAAGTTATCTTCTAATGCCACTTGTACTAGTGGTTTGAGAAATCTCTTAAGGCATAAACAAAATTTAATTTAGTGAGTGCCTAATCAGCTTTGTTTCTTCACCTTGGATTGTGCAACTAAGGATAAACTGATCTGCTGTACTTCAGTAATGACAAGTTACTAGAAACCAAATGCTGACAGGCTATGGTGTAAGTGCCTTGTTTGCATGTGCAAGTAGTGTTAGTATTTTAGGGAGTGGCTAAATTTAGTATCATGTCTCAAGTCCTGCATCTTCCCAGAAAAAAGAATCAGAAGAATTTGTTCTTCAGCACCAGCTCTTACTTCTCAAAAGAGCTGCTGCAGTTTTCTCACTCCTGCCCCAAATCTCTAGAAAGTTCACAGGCTTGACATGTATTTTCCAGACATCACCTGCCTTTTAAGAACAGGAGAGAAAATTGTCAGAAGGAAATGTAATTCTCCGTTTGATGTTCTGTATTACTAGAGTTCTATAGTACCAGCCAAATAAGAAGATGACCTAGAATTCTCTCTTATCAATAGGATATTAAATGCTTCTCACAGTACACTTTGCTGAAAGTCAAAGCAACACGAGTGTTTAACTGAAGGTGTTTAAAACACTGTACATTCTGTGGTTTCAGAGATCAGGACATGGTTCTGACTATTTGAAGTTCTGGCTTCAAAGTAGCATGCTGGAGAAGCAAGCAGCACAATGAAGAAAAAACCCAAACCTCTGCAAGTGCTGTACTAAACCTGAAATACAGCTATGTCTTCTGAACCATGTTTAATATCATTCCTTCTATCTATGATTTTTGGAACAGCAACAAATTGTACTTCTAAAAAAAGCCCACCACAGCTTTAACCAAGTGGACTAGCAACACTGTACAATAGAATGTGACTAACTGAAGGTTTTAACTCCTTGTTTACCACTAAAGTCGTTGCAGTGTTGTGATGCAATTTCTCTTTTGCTGAATTTCAGTAAAAACTTCCCACAACCATCCAGATCACAGTACACTAATAGCCCACAGACACATTGGTCTGAAAAACACATAAGGAAGAGCATATACTTAGTTTATCTAGAAAGTTAAGCTCTACCCATGTTCTTCTTTGTACCTTGCCACTTCCTACCAATTTTAAACCAGCTAGTATTTAAATAACGCATAATGTTTGCTGACCCATTAAGGATTGGGATGCATAAATTTAGGAAGCCAACCATGTTAAAGCCATGCTATGACTACCTCAAAACATGCTCTAAAAAAAGCGGGTAAGGTCTGACATGCTAAGACGTGGCAATTAAAAGGGTAAGGGAGAAGGACAAGAGTTCTCCATAAAGTGGGGGTTTCTAAAGGCTGTGTTTTAGAATACTTGTCTGAAAGTTAATGTATAAGACTTCCTTAAGTTTAAAAATACTATTTAGCTCATTGGCTTACAAGATTTTTATTTTTTTTTCCTTTTTTCAGCCTAGAAAAGAGGAGGCTCTGTGGTGACCTTGCAACAACTTTCCAATATCTGAAATGGGCCTATAAGAAAGCTGGGGTAAGGCTTTTTACCACAGGTGTATAGTGAGAGGACAAGGGGCAATGGTTTGAAGCTTAAAGAGGAGAGATTTGGGTTGGATGTTAGGAAAAAGTTGCTGGAACAGGTTGCACAGGCATGTTGTGGATGCCCCATCCCTGGAGTTCAAGACCAGGTTGCTCAAGGCCTCATCCAACCTGATCTAGCGAGAGGTGTCTCTGCCCATGCAGGGAGGCTGGAACTAGATGATCTTTTAGGTCCCTTCAAACCCAAACCATTCCATGATTCTATTATTCTTTTTAAATAATATACTACAGATCTCTCTGTTCTCTCCCAAACCGGTTGTGAAATAAATTCCTGCTTAAAAATGAACATTTGGAGGGAAAAAACAACAGCCAAGTTCACTAAATTTTCCTTAAAGATTATGAAAGTTTGTTTATAGGGGACTACCTAGCAAAAACTCTGAAAAGAAAGATGTCCCAAGCACAGATTACACAGATTCAAATCCTAGCACTGAGAGAAACTATCACAGGCACCAGAACGTTTTAGTCCAAACAGAACCAAGATACCATACATGCTACAAAAATTTAAAAGAGCAAATACTCCTAGATTCTTCAATAAACAAAGTAAAATATCCAATTTTTTCATGGGTGTGAAAAGCCAGTGCAAAATAGACCACTGAATGTTATTAAACTTCATTTGGTCTTTTTCCTACTCTCAGTCCAAGATATATAAAAGTAAAAATGGAAGACAAATCAAACCATCTCACATACAGGGATCAAACTCTGGCAGAAGCACCTGCTTCTAATGCAGTCTCTAACACACATTGTTGGATTCTCATAGATAACTTCTCTCTACCCTTTAGCTCCTTCTTATATTGTCTGGGTCACCTCCCCATAGGAAAAGCAATGGTCTCCAAAGTGGAGCGTGAAAACCCACAGAGGTGTACAAGACAGTCCATTGTAAGAATAAAATAATTTGTGTACTGTTAATGAAGTAGAAAAAGTGTTTATTTCATCTTTATCTCAGCTTTAATTTCCATTTTTTATTATGTTTTATAATGTACATAATACATAGTACCATAGTACATGTGTATAATTTACAACTAAATCTACAGATATTAGTGGTGTGTGCTCAAATGTTTTTTTTTTGCTGATAGAGGTGCAGGATCAAAAGGTTTGCAGACCACTGCTCTAGACCTCTATTGGCATCCATGGAAACAATACATCAATTCTTTTGCAGAGAGAGTTTCAAGCTAGAAGATTAAGCAGTTTCAGTGAACTTTTTTTAGGTTAATGAGAAAACCCCTAAACCTTACCCCTACATGCAAATTACTCATATTAAAGACCAATTGTTATAAAATTCACAAGAATAACCTTATAGCTATGCTTTTGCAAAAAGAAAGTGCCTTTAGACATTAAAATATTGACTTCCTATCTTTAAATTCCATTAAAAGTTTCAATCTTTATCTACACCAGTTGCTATTACTGTGTTCAAGTAAGTCTCCAAATTTCATATAAAAATCACATATACAATGGGATGTCAAAAAACTGTTTGAACCCTTATGATGCAAATTGGTAGTACACTAGAGCCAAGGACAGTAGTTACCACAGCTGCAACAATAAACCTTTTACCTGGCTGGACCGTGATGTGAAACATACCTAAAAGCTTAGGTAAGGCTGTCAAACATTATGTAAATAAGGGACTATTATGCTTTAAGCTGAGGAGGCACAATCCCATGGCTGTTGATTTCTGTCTTCACTGGATGATCACAACCAGAGTTCTCTCCATGTAAGGTTTTCTGAATTTTTTAATAATACTGGCCAAAGACATTATACTGAATGTTATGAATTTGGGTAGTGACAATTTTACTGGGTGACAGTAGTAAATACTGACCACTGAGACAGCAAAATAACTAATATTTTAGTAGGATGAAACTAAGGCTGCACTACACAGCTGCTAAAGATTTTCTTTAAAAAAGACCATACTCTCCACATTATGACATTGAAAACATTGAATGAACAAGTTTAGTAAAAAATAACAACTTCTAAAGCTCATTATTTTCCAGGCAGATTGTTTAACTACTCCAAACTGACACTGCCCTAAAACAGCCCCCATCTTTTCTGTATGCTTTATTACACAGACCATATTCCATGCCTCCCTAGTTCCAGCTTTACCAGCTAACTCCCTCCTTTGCCAGTTCCAAACTCATCTAGTGTAGCATCCCTACAGCATACTCCACGTGCTGCAATCGTAGCCTTACTTTGTAGTGGCACATCAACTGAAACAGAATCTGAGCCTGCCATTCACTTGTGCACTTTGGTGCGCCAGTAGTAATGCTCTAAAACTTCACTGTCATGCTATCAATGTCACAGCTCACCCACCAGCTCAGCATCGATTTTCTCCTGTGTAGCAGTTACAGTATCACTACTCCTAGCCACTGTTTGATCCTTCCCAAACCAGCATCAGAATCAACAGCTGATTGATGTACCCAATGAGGAAACCAGTAACTCTGAAAAGTAACTTGATATTTGTCCTCTTTCCAGCTGAATCTTTTCCTTCATTTGATTCATCACTTGGCACCCGAACACATCAGAGATAAGTAGCCGGGATTCACACTGCAGTTCTGCCACAGGAATAGAAACTGAAAATTGTTACCTCGTTAAATCATATTGCATAGGTTAACTGTATTAGTAGAGCAGTATCTGTAATACTGATGGCATTAAAATGTTCTTTCAGATTTAGAAACAACTTCATATCCCATCTGTACTTATCCTACCATGCAGAAATAAGTTCATCTCCCCATTTCACACACCCCTTTCATTCCAAATTTCATGAAGAAAACCAGATTCCATGTGATTGGAAGTCTTCTGGGTGCAGAGAAGTATCTTAAAAGGAGCTACACTACTGGGTAATTCCTTTCTCTATTATTCTGGAAAGAGATCAAGTCACTGTACAGTTTGTTGCATTACTTCCATCTCCTGCATACAAAGGATGGCCATTCTCAGAGTATCAGATATCAGAGTATTTGTTTTTAAAAAATTCAACAAAAGACATTAAGTGAGGCAGTTCATCATATGTATTTCCAATTAGTCTCACTGTACAGATCTATAGCAAAAGACGTTAAAAATTCCACTAGTTGAAAGCAGTAGTGCCTCAGGTTTAGGGCATTTATGTTAC